GTAAATTGGAGAATACATGAAATGACTCTTTTTTCCACAATAAATTTTTTCTAATCTAGTATATGTTGGGCTTTGTGATTAAAGTCAGAGCTATGCTGTCCTTCCTCTCAAAGAGGCCTCAGTAAAGAGGGAGATTCAGGCATAAGTGCATTAAGGCATAAACCTTAAGAATAAAGGGGGGGGGTTATGTGCAAGTACTATGATAGCACGGCAAGTGGGATAACTAATTTGCTTTGCATAGTGTGGCACTAGGAAGAAGTTACATAGTGGGTGTCTTTTGAGCTGGGTCTTTAAGAATATGCCTGCCATAGAGAGAGAACAGAAAAGTCCTAGTAGCATGAAAATGTAAGGTAAATATAGAGAGTAGCTTATCATGTATATATGATGGTTATTGGGGGGGGGGCTGAGTTTGCAAAGATGCAGTAGAGCCAAATAATTAGAAAATTTGATTGTGCTTAAGGAGTTTGTATTTTATGTTAAAGTAGGAAAGAGTCATGAAATGTTTTTAAGAAGTACAGTGGCTTAATCTTATTTGTGTTTATAAAGCTATTTGGTGCAATACAGAGGGGTGGATTAGATTCAGAAGAAACTAAAGCCAGGGAAACTAGTTGGGACACTGTGTTGTAGGTCAGGCAATTGATAATGAATCTGAAATGAGGCAGGAGAGATTAATATGTGAGACATGCACGAGGAAGACTGAATCAACAACTGAGGATAGAAAAAAAGCGGTCATGGGTGACTTCACTATTTCTGATGTGTGTGATGGTGGTTTCATTAAGGTGGTTTCATTAAGTAGGAAAGAAAATGCAGAAGGAAAGGCAGAGTTCGTAAGAAAAATTGAGTTTTGTGTCTTATAAATTAAAGAGTCAGGATCCATTCATCAGCTGTAAATATAGATCTGAAGATGAGGAGAAGGCTGAGGGTTAGAGATTTAATTTGCAAGTCATTAAGATTTACTTGACATTAAATTGAGAACTGGATCTATACCCATCTGGTGTGTTTTAGGGAGACTGGACTATCAAGTGAGGATTAGGCTGAGATAATTTGTGAGGCCCTTCTGGGCCTTTGAGTAAATATTAAGAGGAAAGGGGAGTTGAAGAATATGGGATAACCAGGAAATGGTGCTGGTGAAGTAGACGGATCTAGAATACCAACTCTGACAATTTGGTTCTTAAACTTGCCTTTAAAAAAAAAAAAAAAGATTTTATTTATTTGACAGACAAGCAGGGGAAGTAGCAGGCAGATGGAGAGGGAAAAGCCCAATGATGCTGGGCTCCATCCCAGACCCAAGGGATCATGATCTGAGCCGAAGACAGATGCTTAACTGACTGAGCCACCCAGGCACTCCAAACTAACTAACTTTCTTTCTTTCTTTTCTTTCTTTCTTTCTTTCTTTCTTTCTTTCTTTCTTTCTTTCTTTTCTTTTCTTTTCTTTCTTTCTTTCTTTTCTTTCTTTCTTTTTCTCTTTCCTTCTTTCTTTCTTTCTTTCTTTCTTTCTTTCTTTCTTTTCTTTCCTTCTTTCTTCTTTTCTTTTTTTTTTTTTTTAAGATTTTGTTTATTTATTCATGAGAGACACAAAGAGAGAGAGAGGCAGAGACACAGGCAGAAGGAGAAGCAGGCTCCATGCAGGGAGCCCGATGTGGGACTCCATCCCGGGTCTCTGGGATCAGGCCCTGGGCTGAAGGCTGTGCTAAACCGCTGAGCCACCCAGGCTGCCCAACCTTATTTATTTCTTAAACAAGAGGCATATTATTTAAAAAAATTAGTAGAGGAAAATTAAGCTCACATCATGTATTAATTAGAACATTTTGGGGTTATGCAAGAAAACAATTTGAACTAGCTTCAGTTAAATGAGACTTTCTTATGAGAATGCAGTGGACCTTGTAAAAGCCATGGGTCAGAATGCTACTGTAATCAGGAAGCAGACAGCCATTGAGGATCTAGGGTCAGCTCCACTCTGTCTACTTCTTTTCTCTTTCTGTCTCTTACCGTTCTTTTATCCCCTCCAGACTTGTTTTTTTTCCTATTTGTCCTCATGGCATAGACCCTAAATTGTTGTTAAAGCTCCAGACACCTAGTCCTACTAATTCCTTCTCCCCATTCTAAATCCCCTGGGAAGTTCTCTGATTGCCCCCACATAGTTGAGATACTCCCTCCTGATCCACTCTGGTCCAGCCAACTGTGTATGTGTTTAGAGGGCTCATGGACTCCAGTCCAATGAGATCATAATATATGAGGGTAGTATCCAGCATCAGGTACCCCAGTTTGGGAACCAATGACTTAGGCTCTGTTGTTTTTATGAAAATAAAGACTGTGGTAGGGATTATAATGCTCCCCCATCCAACGCCAGTGTACTAATATCCAGAATATGTGGAAATATTGTGTAGAGAACAGAGGGGAATTAAGATTATAGATGGAATTAAGGTTGCTAATCAACTAACCTTAAAATAAGATTGTTTGGGATTATCAGGATCGGCCCAATATAGTCACAAGGGTACTTAAATGTGGAAGAGATAGACATAATTGTCACTGTGTCAGAGTAATGTCATTGCTGGTTTTGAAGATGGAAGGGGGCCATAAACCGAGGAGCTAGAATGTGGAAAAGTCAATAAAATGGATTCTACCTGGAACCTCCATAAAGGAATTCAACTTTGCTGACAGCTTGATTTTAGCCCAGTGTGACCCTTTCCAGACTGACTTCTAGAGCTGTAATAAATTTGTGTTGTGTTAAGCCACTATATTTGTGTTTTTTTAAATAGCAGCCACAGAAAACTATTAAGTAGAATGGTTAATACTTGAATAAGAAAGGTAAAAGATAATTCCAAGGCTGTATTCCTTAAGTATATTTGTTCCATGGTGAACTTTTTTTTTTTACTCTGTCCAGCATTTTTCTCTTGTTCTGAAAATAGCATTTCCCCCTACTCTTTTTTTTCATTTTTTTTCATTTTTCCCTCCAACTAAGTGGTTCTACTTCTTAGGTCACACATGCACTTTTTCTCCAAGAATGATTATGTTACTTGATCTTATCCAATCATGCTCTTTATCTGGTGTTCTAAAAACTGGAACTGAGGGACGAGAGGTTCATTCTGTCTGGTAACAATTTGATAGGTATGAGCCCACAATTTTTCAGAGACCATGGTTCTAAGCCTACAGAATATGCCTTTCAGATGTTCTGAAAGTATGACCGTAAGAGAGGCTGGATTGAGAGCCTAATCTGGAATTTGAAGCATTCCCGTTACTTGTTCCATTTATTCCTAAAGCCAATCATAAACTTACCCTTTCACAGCCTGGGTTACACAATAACTTCCTCTTTTTGCCTAAGCTACTTCATTGTACTTTTAGTCACTTCAGTCAAAATATGCTGACAAACTCAGACACAAAAATAAGAAAATAAACCCAGTAATCAAATGAAAGTTCATGAACATATATACACATCTATTAAGATGCAAAAATTACCTATATTAACTGAGTGGGGTTTCTTAAGGCACCTTTTGTATGCAAAACATTTTACTAGTGAAGTGAATAGGACTAAGTCCTATTTCCAGGCACTTACAAGATTTATTCATCCTATAGTCTGTATTTACATTTACCAGTATACATACACTCTTACAATATGTCCTCACTACAATCTCCCTATACTTATTTGACAGATGCAAAACAGAAATGAGTTCAAGAAAGTCTGGTTTGTAAAATACACAAATGGAAGAACCACAAAGGTTAATGGGAAGAATTGCAGGATATTCAGATCTCTAAGGGCAATTACCAGACTTTCCCCAAAAATGCTGCCATCACATTCAAAACAGTTGCTGGGCAGGACTAGGGATGTGGCCCTGTGGCAATTCCTTTATTCTTAATAAGCCAAATGTTTCTCAATTCCATCATAACTAAAGTAAAAAGAAGAAAGGAAAAGTAATTTGGAATAAATCACTTTAGGCTCACAGGCCAATTCATGTTGTATTCACTCAGGTGTGTTTAGCTTAATAGCTGATCCAAAGGCACGTGAGATACGACAGCTGACCAGATTTTAAACAGAAAAGCATAGAATTTAAAACTAAGCACGCATGCAGCATGGAATAATAATCAAGTTAGGCTTCTTAAAATGCTAAATGCCAGAAAACCTGAAACCATTAGGGCAAAGTCCACACAACACAGGCCAAACATTTTGTTTCTCAGAGGGGCTTTTAGAAGGCTCAAGTTCTAAGGTGGCTACCTAAAAAGCGGGGTCAAAGGTGTGTCTTCTTTGACAACCCGTGTTCTTCTTCCCAAGGTATATTTAAGACTGTTTTTAAGAGAAAAAAAAAAAAGCAGATTCTTGTCACCAAAGTGCAGAAAGAGCAGCAATAGAGTTTGTCCTTAGGAAAAGGGTTGAGCTAACAGCTGTCTCTAGATAGTCACCCACTACATTCTGGGCTCACACCCAGCAAAGACACGTTAACCAGGCGGTCTGTGGGTGAGAAATCCCCAAGCCCGTCACCTCTGGAGGGCTGAGGACTGCGCGCGAGGGGGAGAAATGCGCAGAGGGTAGGGGTAGGGAAATGATATGTGGGGAGATAGGCGTGCAAAAGAATAAAAGGCTAGCTAGTGTGGATCCAGGGTGGCTTCAGGGTGGCCCCGGGAACTGGCTAGCTGGGCGCCGCGCGAAGCGGGCTTTCTCGAGGATGAATGTGGGGGTGCACCGAGGGGACCAGACAACTTCTCTGCCAGTGTTATAAACAGACCTCAAGAGTGGAAAACTCCAGCCCCCCCCCCCCCCAAGAAAAAACAAACAACTCCAGCCGGGTGCCCGAAGCACTAGGTTTTCCGGACCAAGGCGGCGGAGGCTCCGCCCCTTCGCTTTCCCACCCCGCTGGCCACGCCCCTCCGCCCCTAACCCCGCCCGGACCCCGCCCACTTCAGCTTCCCACCACCCTTCCCATCCGCCTGCCGCTCCAGGCTCCTACTAGGTTCGGCGGCTGTGGGAGCGCGCAGGCGCAGCTGGCGACTCGCAGAGCCCGGAGTAGCGGAGCTGAGCGCGCGGTGAGTGAGGTAGTGGCGCGGAGCTTGTGGCTGGGCAACCTGGTTTGCGCCGAACGTCCCGGTTGGGTTCGGGGAGTGTGCGGGTGAGTGCCCGGGGAATCTTCGGTCCCTGGTAGAGAAACTGGCCGGACGTGAGGTAGGGGAGTTGGCCGCACTGCCTAAGTGTCCAGCCGGCCGCGTGCGGAGCGGAGTGCGTGGTGGCGGGAGTGGGTGAGGGTTTCTGTGAGGAGGAAATAGAAGGATTCCGGAGACTGGAAGTCCTTACTCAGGCTTGGCAGGACCGGGAGGCTCGCCAAGGGCGCTGGAGGGTGTCCCAGCTTCAAGTTCAGTATCCCCCGCTGGGTGCCCCTCAGCAGCGTCCCGGGCCCTTCCCTTCCCCCGCGCAGTCGCCTCAGAGTGCAGAGTTGCCAGGAACGTTCCTTGTCGTGGGTGAGAGGATTCGGGGGGAAGGTGGGCGCTCACCCCAGCTAGTGCCAAGGAGGGCGTGGCGTTCGTGTGACTTTCCTCTACCCCGCCCCCGGGAATGTGTCTGTCTTCTGGTACATTGTGCTCATGGACATTTTAACAAAGGCTGTGACTGTTTTCTAGGCAGTGGCGGGTGACAGCGGGGGCGGGTCGGTGAAGTGGGGAGCTTACGAGGTCGCGGTGTGGTCCTGGGGGCTGGGGGCGGGGGCAGGCATGGAGGGAGTGGAAGGAAGGGAACAACCTTCCTGCCTCAGCTTTTTCCTTCTTCCTGGTCCACTGATTTTGATCAGTGGTAGGAACAGCCTCAAGAGGGATATGATTGCAAATCCAGAGTGTGTGTATTCGCACTCTGGCTGCATCCATAGTTTTGTAATTGTGCTCTTGGTATGTTTCCTAAGTGTCCCTTCAGTAGAAAAGCGAAACGAATAAAATTGAAGAGTAAGTAATTAAACGAAAGGGTGAAGAGGTGGGGTGTCAAAACTTACAGCTAAATTAATGCCTTAAAATTTTTTTTTTGTTTATTTGACACGCACACAGACACACCGACAGAGAGTACGAGTACAAGTAGGGGGAGCGGCAGGCGGAGGGAGAGGGAGAAGCAGACTCCCCGCTGAGCAGGGAGCTGGATGTGGGGCTCGATCCTAGGACTCTAGGATCATGACCTGCGCAGAAGGCAGACACTTAACGGACTGAGCCACTCAGGTTCCCCAAATTAATGCCTTCTGATAGTGGTAGTATTAATAAAGCCAGATTTTGAAGGATGTGAAGGTGTGCAAATCGAGGTAAGTGAAAAGTTGATCAAGGTGCTGTTGATCGCTTCAGTCAAGAGGGGATTATTGCATGTGTGTGGAGGTGCTGCTAAGTTCTTGAGTAGACTCACTTTAGAACCCTTAACAATGATATTGGAAATAAAAAACACTAAGAATTGTAATATTAGGTAAGGTTCCAAGGCTTTCATTTGCAAAATTAGGATCTTTATGAAAAGTGGTATATGTGTTTTCAAGCATAAATGTCCATTTCTTTACTCATCTGTTTAACTGAATACAACAAACAACTTCTTCCTCCTCCACCCCTTTCCCTTGATTGTAAATCCTGTTTTATAAACAGTTAGCTTTCAGATCTGAAGTGTGTTTAAAGGCACAACCTTCCTCCCCCCCCCCCATGAAGTGAACAGGATTTCTTCTTGTGTTGTCATTTTACTCTTTCATTTCCTGTTATTTTAAATTAAATGCCATGAACATTAACAATTTTGGGGAGGAAGGTGCTAGTGATACCTTTTCTCTTTTCCAGAGCCTAATGAACCCCTACTCATCCTTTCAGACTCAGCTCAAATTTTTCTTAGAAAATTTTGACATTTCCCTCAGAATGAATTAATAACCCTCTTTTCTGTTAAACTGATTCCACTGGTCTTATTTCTCTCTTGGAACTAGAAACTCAGTCTTCTGTGTTATCCCAATACCTAAGGCTGCTGCGTATGTACTAAATGCCTAATAAATATACTTACAAGTAAATGTTAATAAATGCTGGCATTGTGTAAAGTTCATGGGATAATAGAAAAGATTCAGAATGCTGAAATTATATGTCATATTTGAACATTATTTGGAATGTAAGTAAGAAAAGTATGGAAATAAGTTCCCATGTATTAAGTCTGTAGTTTACCTTTCTAAAAGAGGTACAAAAGCTTTGCAGATATAGACAAAGCAGGCATGAGGAAAAGACCAAATTTTAAAACAGGTCAACTTCTGGGATCCCTGGGTGGCTCAGCGGTTTAGCGCCTGCCTTTGGCCCGGGGCGTGATCTTGGAGTCCCAGGATTGAGTCCCACATTGGGCTCCCTGCGTGGAGCCTGCATCTCCCTCTGCCTGTGTCTCTGCCCCTCTCTCTCTGTTTGTCTCTCATGAATAAATAAATAAAATCTTAAAAAAAAATAGATCAACTTCTTATACTGAAACTAGTGAAAAGCCAACATGACACAGAATATTAATCATTTGTAGAAGGACACTAACAGGGCACTGCTGGAATATAGGAATTGACAAGAGAATCATGCTGGCCACATGGTATCCTTAGAAGGCTAATATAACTAAAGAAACTGTAACCTATTAGACCAATTAGACAGACTAATCAGTTGTATTATACTCCTAAGTCTTAAGGTGGTTTGAGCAGTTGGCTGATGGGCCTCTTCATGTTATAGTGCCCTATTTCTGCAGCCTATTTTTTTAAGATTTTTATTTATTTATTCATGAGAGAGAAAAGAGAGAGAGACACAGGCAGAGGGAGAAGCAGGCTCCACGTGGGGAACCTGATGCAGGACTCAATCCCGGTACTCCAAGATCACGCCCTGGGCCGAAGGCAGGTGCTAAACCGCTGAGCTACCAAGGGATCCCCCTATTTTTGACATTTGTCTTAATTCTACCAGCATCATTGGGTTTAGTCACCTTTGGCTCATGAAAGCAATTATCTTCTCTTTGCTCCTTACCACTCAAGCTCATCATCCCCACACCTAGCTTTCATCTCCTCAGTAGATTTACCAACTGGAGAAAATAGCAAATGATCACTTGATTTATTAGTGAGTAGAATTGATACTTCTAGTCTAAAAATGAGTCAGGATTGGCTACTTGGTTGGTCCAAGTCTCTGTGCCAGCAAAGCAAACAATCTATTCTGGCTGTTAGTAACTTCTATTTTTCTCCTCTCATTTTAACCTCTCTCCACCTAAATGTAAAATCACTTTTTCTCCATGTCACTTAAAAAAAATAATAGCTTTAATCACTGTTCACCCCAAAACACTTCAAGTTAGTGCCTGGTTGTTATGAGAAAAGCTTGGGTCTCAGAGAGGGTGAGTAGAGTCTATAAAACTTCTTTTTGAAGAAGTTCTACATAACAGCCTCTGTGGTCTTTAGACTCACTAAAAAAGATATTTCAGACAAGTGTAGTTAAGACTACCTTTTTAAACTTTCCTCACCTAGACTTCCTCTCCATATTTCTGATTTTTGTCCTAATTCTTTGACAGGTCAACCCCAGCCACTTCCACTGAGTCACTTTTTTAGGGTTCTCTCCAAGACTCTCTTAACCACTCCATGTAGACCAATAATATGGTGGTCAAGGGCATGGGATTTGCAGGCATTTGTTAAATTTCTTTCTCTAGGCATCCAGTTCTTCATCAATAAAAATAATGGGTATAATATTTACCTCTTAAGTGAGATCAGATAGATTACAGCTTATAATATTTAGCACGTACTGGGGTGCCTGGGTGGCTCAGTTGAGCATCTGCCTTCAGCTTGGCTCATGGTCCTGGGGTCCTGGGATCGAGCCCCACGTCAGGCTCTGTGCTCGGCAGGGAGCCTGCTTCTCCCTCTCCTTCTGTTGCTCCCCTGTGCTCTCTCTCTCAAATAAATAAAATCTCAAAAAAAATATTTAGCATATGCTAATTGCCCCCAAAATGGTAGTTCTTGTTATTTATAATTGCCATTTCTTATGAGGAATGTAATTTCAGTAGCAGTTCATTTCAAAATGGGAATGTGTTGACATCTACTCTCTTCAAACTCTAGTCCTGTATTTGTAGATTCCTCCTATATATCTAAAACAGGTGGCTTAGCACAGTGGTTCTCACACATTAGCTTGCACAATAATCACAAGAATGTTCACTTAATTGGAAGGAGAATTAGGGAAATACGATAGAGGATGAGTCCAGGATGATGCCAAGGATTTTGGTCTGAGCAACTGGAAGGATGGAGTAGCTATTTAGTGAGATATGGAAGATTGCAGGAGGATCAAGAATTCAGTACTAAGCATGCTGAGTTCAAGAGGACTTTGTGTGTGTGTGGGGGGTTGTGTGTGGTTTTTTTTTTTAAGATTTTATTTATTTATTCATGAGAGACACAGAAAGAGGCAGAGACATAGGCAGAGGGAGAAGCAGGCTCCTCAGGGATCCGGATGTGGGACTCAGTCCTGATCCCAGGACTCCAGGATCACACCCTGAGCTGAAGGCAGATGTGCAACCACTGAGCCACCCAGGTGCTCCTCAAGATGACTTTTACATGTGAGTGAAGTTCAGGAGAGAGGTATGAGTGGACAGGAAGCTCTGGGAATGGATCAGATCATTACAAGGGAAGAGAAAAAGTCACTCCTTTGCAATAAAAAAATATTAATGAGGATTTTAGTTTCACAGCAAAATTGAGATGTACAGAGTTCCCATATGCTGTCTGTCTGCAGACCCAACCCCCCCCCCATCAACATCCTGCAACACAGTAGTACATTTGTTACAACTCATGAACTTACATTGGCACATTTTTATCACCTGAAGTCTGTAGTTTAAATTGAAGTTCGCTCTTGGTGTTGTACACTCTGTGGGTTTGGACAAACATTTAATGACCTGTATCTTAACAGAATAGTTTCATTTCCCCAAAATCCTGTGTCCTGGGGAACCTGGGTGGCTCAGTCTTTTAAACGTCTGCCTTTAGCTCAGGTCATGATCTTCAGGTCCTGGGATGGAGCCCTCCATCTGGCTCCCTGCTCAGCGGAGGAGAGTGCCTTTCTCCTTCTCCCTCTGCCCTTCCCTCTCCCTCCTTCCCTTGCTTGTGTGTACTCCTGTGTGCATGTGCTTTCTCTCAAATAAATAGAA